AACGTCGGCAGTGCATTTAATTAAATCATTTTGAATTCTGTTAGAGGTACCTCGGAAAGTCGTCGAATCAATAAAATGTTTTTTTAGGGTATAATCGTATTTTGCTAAAAAAAACTTAGAAGATCCATGTAATTTCCTCGATTGGCGGATCTACTTGCTTTATTGTGACCCCTAAAACATAGTTCATGCTCTCCCAGGAAACAAGTTACATCTATTAATCGTTGTAAGACGTCCCTATTTTTTTTACCCTTTCATTGTGAATTTTGTTGCTTATTTTTAAATGATTGTCCAAACTATGTTCAATGCGATAGATCCCAAATATTTTTTCTTTAATTGTAGCACTTATATGAGATTTGCTATTTCCTACATGTCGTTTTACACTTTTGTGAAAATTATTCAAGTCTGTAATACCGACTGAGTTCCAATGTGTTTTTTCGGCTATATTCTTCAAAGTTTTGCAGCCGGTTAACCATTCATACTTTTCATAGAACTCTACGTGAAAAGCCTGATAAATTTCTTTGCTGACTTTTTTACTTTCGTCTCTAAATTGATAGGATCCTTTAGTCTACTAGAATTAATAATGTCCATTTTCTCTTAAAAATTTCTACTTGAAAATCCTTTTTTCAATAAAAAGCACACAATACAGACACAATTTACCACATTATTATTGTTCACAGGCACAGTGCATAGTTCCTCCATTTTACAAAAAGAAAAACAACTATAAAAAACAAACCGAAATCTATCTGAAGTCTACGATTTTCCTCACACGTCGATTCGCGGTGCGAATTGCAATATGCGTAAGGCGACGTAAAAATCGCTGTCTCTCGACCGTATTTCACGTGCACAAACAGACTGACTACTGTTGCAAAGTATATGGTGTGATGTGTGCGTTTACGAAGTTTACGTAATGTTTCAGAGAAAATATAGTTCCTAATTTGATATTAATTTCTATGCATTGTAAACTGAAAAATATTTATTTTTAAATCTCAAAGTGTAGGGAAGCGGTGCTTCCCCCACTTCCATGGACCGCACGCCCTTGTTATTAACAAAGCAATACATTGTGCGGTTTAGTGTACACGTTAGTTTAGCGTAATTAAGTTTTCATACCCTAAGGTATACTAGCAAGTAGAACTTTATTTTTTAAGATTTTAATCCTAGTTAAGTTAGGTTAGAACAAAATTATCCATTATTCAACTTTTGATCAGATTGTAATATTAGCTTTGTTTTGGTTTACTTTCGTTACTGTTCCAGAACTCTTCCAGAACCTTCGGAGCACGCGCAGTAGATATTCGCTGTTTTGGCTTCGCCAGAACTAGTGTTTTGGTTTTTCTTGGGAATGGTTCCATACCCATTTTCAAACAGTAACTTCGGTTCTGGCCCAAAGCGAGAACTGTTTCAGAATTGATATGTTTGCGCTTGCGCTTTTAGCAAGCAGTTTTGTTTTTTGGGATCCGGGCCATGTTTTGTGTTGGAATTTTACAAGGAATGTTTGAATGACGAATGACAATGGAGCAGTTGATTAGTTGATGTTGAGTTATAAGTTTTTTTATGAATAAATTATTTATTTTATCTACGTTTTACAATATTATATAATCTCTTTCTTACTTAGACACAGGATCAGTGTGCTATTTTTCTCTTTTATTTATAATCTACTTTTTGACATTGAATTGTTCTGGCAGTGTTTTGGTTTCGAGTAAAAATGGAATGGTTACAGAACTGTTTAGAATTGAGGAGTTTGCTGCAAGAAGGATGCAGCTCCTTTTTTGTGTCATTTTGAGTTGAAATATACGTTATATGCAAAAAAATTGGCCTATCGACTGGTACAAAAACGATGCAGATCCGTTAATAAATGAAGAAATTATCCGCACTTATGTATCTGCCTCCTCAGTTGTTTGGCGCAAGAAGGGTACAGCTCCGGCGCTGCATCCTTTTTGTACCAAACGATCGTGTGTGTTTGTTGGGTTTCGTGAAATGCAAGGTCATTTGCTGTCTGCATTGCGTCAACGACTGATTTGTTTCTAACTATTCTTAGTCGCATAAGTGCTTTCCATGCGTTGTTATTGTTATTGTAATCTGTTTTTCACGTAGTTTTGTTTTGCGTTGCCGCTTTTTAAAAATGAGTGAAACTGAGTCGGAGCCATTTAGTGCTAGTGACTCACCATATTATGAGCCTTCAAGCTCTGACGAAAGTTCTGATATTGATGTGGCAGGACCTTCTTTTAGAAGGAAGCGTCTAAACAAAAAACGTATCTCTGAACAATCCACTGAATCGGTAGACAACAATTTGCCCACGGAGGAGCCTACTGTTCCTGCACCAAAAAATAGAAAAATGGCAAACCCTGCTGCCTGGAAAAGAAATATTAATAAAAAATCTGCTGCAGAAGGAAAAATGTATACGAACTATAAAGGGGTACAGAAGGGACCGAGATTAACTGGATCGAACTGTAACTGTAGGTACACGTGTTTTCAGAGTGTGGATGAAGAAACAAGAAACGCTGTCCTAGAAAAGTTTAACAAAATAGGCGACAAAAATTTGCAAAATACCTATTTGGGAGGATTGATTCAAACTGCTGCCATTCAAAGAACTCGTAAAAAAAACTAATAAAAGACAAGTGCGTACTTGTTCTCACAAGTATTTTGTTAGACTGGGCCACCTATCAGTACGAGTTTGTAGATATGCTTTTGGTTCAATTCACGGCATATCAAGGAAACGTGTAGACCTCATTGCTCAAAGTTTTCGTGGCAGAAATATCACAGCACCAACTAGAAACAAGGGAAAACACGAAAATAGACCTAACCGGAAATCAAAGGATATACTGCAAAATGTGACCATGCATATCAAGAGTTTTCCAAGACGCGAGTCGCATTACAGTAGAAACAAGTCTCGTCGATTCTATTTGTCTCCAGATCTAAGTATAAAAAGAATGCATTAGCTCTATTTGGAACTTTATGAACCGGAAAGTACCAGTGACCCTTTATATAAAACCAAAGTGCCCTATGACTTTTATTATCGATATTTCAAGGAAAACTTCAACTACAGTTTTGGCTCACCTCGCTCTGATACGTGCAAAAAATGTGACATCTTGCATAACAAACTTAAAGATGTGACCCTCGACGAAAACGAAATAAAAGAATTAGAAGCGGAAAAGCAGACTCATGAAATTAAGGCCGATTTCTTTTTTAAGGAGCTGAATAAGAAAAGTAACTTGTGCAAAGAGAACGATGAAGTTGAAGTTTTGACATTTGACTTCCAGCAAAACCTTCCCCTTCCAAAAGTTCCTGCTGGGGAAGCTTTTTACAAACGCCAGTTGTGGACATATAATTTCTGCGTTCATTCTGCCAAAACGAATCAAGCACACTTTTATATGTACGATGAAACGACAGCTCGAAAGTCGCCAAACGAGGTGGTGTCATTTTTGTACCATTACATAAATAATATACTCCCAAAAAATGTCAAAGTTTTATATCTCTTCTCTGATAATGCTGCTGCTCAAAACAAAAACTCTGTAATGACTCAGTTTTTGTATTTGCTCGTAAGAACTACGTCTATTGACAAGATTGAACATCGTTTTCCTGAGCCGGGTCACAGCGTTCTACCATGTGATCGGTGCTTCGGAGTTATTGAGAAGTTTTTGAGGAAGAAGGACTACGTTTTCAGCCCTAAACAATACGCAGATTTTATCAAGCAATCATCCAAAAAGTTCATCCCTATTCTGGTAAAACAAAATATGATCCTGAACTTTAGTGGTCACTATGAAGGACATTTTAAAAAAGTGATCTTAAATGAGGACAGACAAAGGGTCCAGATTTCGAAATACCGCATTTTTGAATACAGCAAGGAACACTTGGATGGTATCAAAGTTAGCATATCTACTGGCCTTCCGATTTTTCTGTTTTTTAAACTCTTGAGAGACCTTGAAATCGATCTCTCAGTTTCTTCTGATATCCCAGTGTATGACTATCTCATACCTGTCAAAAAAGCCAAGTATCAGGATGTAATGCAATTGGCAACACGATCCGTTCCAATGGACCAAATGGCTTTCTACAACTGCCTCAGAAGTGAAGCTGTAGCAGAGAACCAGGGACCCGAAACATCTGGAACGGATGATAATGATGACCAGGTAGATGAATGAAGTGTAGGTTCGCGTGAGTTTATTATTTCGATTTTTTTCGAATGTTGATTTTTTTTTATATACCAACCTGCGTATTTTTATTGTTTTTTATATTTTTTTGTATTTGTTGACCTATATTCTTTAGACTTTTCTTACTTAATAAAGGCTTTTCACTAGGTATTTTGTTTTTTTGCCAAAGACTGTAGTAAGTACGCATTTTTTCAAGTGTTTGGTGGAAGAAAGATGCAGCTCCAGCTTTTGTTTCTAATTTTTTCTAATTTCTCCAAAAATTATAAGGTTTAAAATAGTTTCAAATATTGACTAAACCTCGATATTATTGATTGGCACTTCGTTTTTCAGTTTAAAATAAAAACTTTAAAAGAAAAACAGTTTTTTTTCAATTTCCCAACAATTACCAAAAATGGAGCTGCGTCCTTCTTGCAGCAAACTCCTCAATTAAGGACCATCATGCAACAGTTCTGCGCATGATTCTGGAACAATTCTAAAACGTGAACCAAAACAAACCTATTAATAAACACCCCTTATGAAGTGTTTTTTTAAAAAATATATATATATATTTTCCCCAAGTTAATTAATACTAAAAAACAAATTAAGTTTTAATCAATTCCAGGTTTCTGGCTTTCCTCTAATTTTTTTTTTAATGAAGTTACACACTTTGCGATTTACACTGACGCTTTAGAAACGTATATACGAAAGACTTAAGAAGACAGCTTAATGTTAATCGAAAAAAATTAGGACATCAAATGTTGAAATAATATTTTAAACAGTACAGTTTATTGAAAGGTTTATTTCAAAGAAATTATATAATGTATAATTTTATTTCGATATTACAATGTAAATAAAAAACAAAATATAAATGGAATAATATTAAGTAATATCTAACTTACTTATTTACTTAATTCTAAGAACCGTAAAGTGTAAGACTAATATCTAATTTACAAATACAAAAACAAAATATGTTATAAAAATTATGTTATTTTTTAGGCCATTTTGATTATTGAAAAATGTATATCAAAAACAAGTAGTTAATAATTTAAATTATGACTGCATATTTAATTTTGTATTAAATTTAAAATTAAAAACTTGCCAAGATACAATGATATTTATTTATGTTTATGTAAATATCCGACATTTTTATGTATCGCGATTGTTCACACTGGCTAATGGAAGGAATAATATTTAGTTTTTACGAGTCACTATTAACAAAATAAAATTAGTTCCAAGTTACGCAATGAAACGTAATATCCAAATATCTTGATAAGTAGAAAAATAGAAACTGTGCGAGATGATTCAATTCCTCATAACCATGTCTTTGTTGCCTGCAAAATTAAATTAAAACAATCATAATATTTTTTAGAAGTTGTAAGATACATAAATAGCAAATAACAATTGGTTGTATTTAATCTATCTATATATTCTATATATACAACAAAATGAATTGCTGTTCGTTAGTCTCGCTAAAACTCAAGAACGGCTGAACGAATTTATCTTATCTTGGTCTTGAAATGTTCGTGGAGGTATAGGTAAGGTTTAAAAGGTGAGAAAAATTAGAATAATTGCCGGGAAAACCATAAAAAGAGCCATTATCTTTTTCCCATATATCTATATATAAAAGATAAAAGGATTATTGGGCAAATACCGCAAAAAAATGCCTAAAAGGCAAACCGTAGATACGTGTTTCTGACTATTGGTTTTTATTATGGAGGGTAGAGAAAAAGAGGACAATCTTATATGGATCTTTATATTAAAAAGTGGCCACCAAAATGTATACAATTAAGATGGCGCTCGTGTAGCCAGGGGACAAAATCAAATGCTATATAGTCATATAGATTGCTCATTCATAATTAAATCAGACAGGAAGCAGTAAATTGAGACCTCCGTGCCATTTTATTATAAGAATTATTTATTGTTTATATTATTATTTTTCAATAAAATTTGACTATTGTCGTGTATTGTCAAAATTTATCTACGATCACAGAACACTTACTCTTCTACGATCAGTCACTTTTCACGGTGTAGTTTTTAGTTTTTTATGGTTGAGCAATATTTATTACTATATACATCATTGGTGTCATTGTGTGATCTGAATTATCGACTGTCGACGTCCCCTGGGCATAGAAGCGCCATCTTAATTGTATACATTTTGAGGGACACTTTTTGTATACAGAGATTGTTCTCCTTTCCTCTACCCTCCATAGTTTTTATCAGTACGGTGCAGCTAAGTTCAAAAGAGAATGGAACTAGCGATGAAATCAAATCAATAGGAGATCACTCAAGAAGCCAACCACACATTTGTGGACTGTGCTAACATTCTCAGTGATTACTAGGAATATATTAGCGTCGCCACGGAGGCAGTTATAGCCGCTATGAAGATGCATCCAAGCCCAGGGAAACTAAACAAGAGAAGGTTTAGTGCGGTGAAAAAATATAAAAGATAAAAGGATTATTGGGCAAATGCCGCAAAAAAAACACATGGAGACGATTACAAACAGTTTAAAAAATTTTAAAATAACAGAACCCCATCTTTCTCTTTCAGCTTGTGTTTTGTTATTGTTTTATGTTAATTCAAATATTGTTTTTGGTTCCTCCAACCTTAAGTAGGAACCTCTAGTTTTGTTTAGTTTTCTAACCGTTAAAATAAAATATAATTTGTCGGACATATTTTTTTTATATATATTCACAGTGACTTTTTAACTTTGAATGTTAATTTTTTAAAACATTTTTTCATGTTTCCGATCATTCTGAGTCTGAAAATTAAAAAAAAAAAAAATTGTCTGCTCGTCTGTGTGTATGTATGCCGGCACGATAACTGATTGAATTGCGGTTTTGATTTGCTTAAATAATTACTTCTAACTTAGAACCCTATTGATTTTCAGAATTTTCCATTCATCCTAACTACTTTAATATCAATTTGCTTAAAATCCGCCTATGAATTTCTTATGTGACAATTTTAGGAATTCCAATTATTTCTAACGTCAACATTTCTAACATTCTTAACATTCCATAAATTGCAAACATTCTCTAAAGACCTGTCAAACAACAGCTGTTGAGAGTAAAGGTGAAATACTTGCAACCATAGCCATTTTGGAGGCTATTTTTATTCGAAATTAGTCGCCAAGCCTGCCAATTTATGAAAAATATGTAAGCAGTTTCTTAAAAATAACTTTTTTATGGTGGTGCTAACTTAAGCGTACTACTATTTCGCCCCTAGCCACAAAAACAGCTTCATCAAATTTACTGGCTCTCTGTCGCAACCCCATAGAATAATTAACCGGCCACTTTATTTGGCAAAAATCAGAATAAAGCTTGGCTGTGCCTGTCAAGTATCAAGATGTCAACTGTGATGTGTGAATGGCTCTTAAATGTCAATTTATTTAAAAATGTATACTTCTTTTGATATCTATTGCAAATAATTTGTAGTGTATCTCAATTCAGGCTTTCCATAAATAAAGGTACAGCAAGACAGATAATATAATGTTCTTATACAAGGCACTTTTTTATTATATAAAAGAGAGGTAGGATATAATGCTGGTTTTTTGTAGATAATTTTACGATTTTGGATTACGTATTCAACCAGCGAATTGTAAATAATAATTAGTAAATTCCTAGTCATAAATTTCCTCAACTCATAAAATTTAAAAATGAATCTTCTTACCTTGGGATTTTAATGACGTAATGTGATCAACTCATTTCAAATTTTGATCAATTATGATACCGAGGTATTTTGTATTAATATAACATCAAGTAATTTTTAAAAATAAAGTACATGATCTCAATACAGAAACAATTTATAATAAATGCGGGTAAAATGAGGGGTAAAATAACAATAAATTAAGGGAAATAAGGGCAGGTTTAAAGAGTAATATCACAAGAAAGACATCTTTCAGGAAATACCAGACGTCTTAAAGACGTCTCTAATGTCTTATGCAAGAGACGTTTTAAAGACGACTTTGTGCTATCTGGGAGAAAGTTTATCCGTTGTTTATTTATCAAGTATTGTTTGAGCTTACTTTTAAATACATTTATTGGTATTTTTTTTTTAATTTCTGTAGGCATTCTATTAAATTTTTTAAACCTTTAATAAAAATTGTATTTTGGGAACTTTTAATGATGGCTTGCCGTACATGAAAGTTAGATTGGCTTCTTGTATTATAGTTGTGATATTGCGAATTATATTGAATTTTTTCTAATAGATCTGATGCGATGGTACTATGTTATTTTTATTTTATAAATAAATATCAGTCATGTACTGAACATAATTCTAAACTGAAAGCCAATTTATTTTAACATAGTTGCAATACTCATCCTTCTGTCCTTTATTAATAGAATATAAATAGGCGAAGTAAGGAGCCCAAATATTTTACATGAGCAAGCTTAAGAGGTAAAGGGGCCAATTATTATTGGATAAATTGCTCGAACAAGTTTTTAAACCCTAATCAAAAAGCGATATAAAATGGTTTTAAAAATTAAGGCTTGTGAAAATCATCACATGGTTTAACCTAAGTAATGCCAATGCTTCACAAACCAAAAAATTCAACGTCCTAATACTACTATCGGCTTTCGGTCTTTCGTTCCAAGTTAAATCATTTTTTGTTTTTGTTACGCTACGAGTTTATCCTTGTGGGCCTCAGTCACGATAAGGTGGGAACCACCATTTTAGCGTCTCTCGAATTATTATTTTTTTTTGTTTTAAAAAACATATTTGTTCAATGGGCCATGTTCACATGTGAGATATGCTATTTTATAAACTATATTGTAATAGTTAGTCGCTATACAAGTTATTCTAAATAATCAGTTCGTTAAAAAAGCTAAAAGTTTTTAAATTAAGCCCAATTGAAATTTAAAATTTGAAATTATACGTCATCGGGAATAGACCAATCAGCTTGTGTCGAAGTTTTTTTTGTTTTACAAAACCAAGCCAACGAACAAACCTACATACAGAATGTCGAAGTGAACGCACATCTAAGTGACATTTAAAAATTGACAGCACCTAACAACTAACCTTAGTTTTTTGTTTTGGTTTAATTTTATTATTAATCTGCATTTATCTGGGTAAATTATCCTGTGGGATATAGGATATATAAAGGAAGAAGAATATGAATTTATCAGCTGTATTTATAAAAGTTGAATCAAGTATTTTTCCCATTGTAAACGAAAATATGATTACCGAGATGATTACTGCATTTTTTAACAATACTCAGTTTCCAAAAGATAGAAAGGTAAAACTTTATTTATAAATTGTTTTAATGGTAGGTAGTTACAGTTTATATGAAGCAGTACACTTTATAGTAAAACATATTTATCTCAGGTTTTATTTTTAGATCTGCCAAGCAAGAATATGGAGATATTTACTTTTTCCATAAGAGAGAAGGAGACAAATTACACCTAAACATAAAGTACAGCAAAAACCTTATGATGTGGCTGTTTTTTAGTGCACAATGCTTAGGATATGTTGAATCTCAAGGTTTGTAATATTTATTATGCTTTTTTGTTTTTATATCACATATAATAAACAGTGTATAAGGCCCTTTATTCTTATAAATATTTTTTTTCTAATTTTGACATAAAGAGACATTTTTTGTAATCGCAGCAAGTGTTAAAATAATCTAGAAATAGATTTTGTTAGTGAACCTAGTAATAATTATGATACCAAAGAATGCTGCAGAGCACCTATGAAATTTTGAGTTAAAACATGCCATATTTTTAGGCTATTTTTATACCCTTTTCAAAAATTTTATGCTCCTCGTTTTATGCAAAACTTAAAATGCTCTGATAGCTTCGAACGAAGTCAGCAAAGCACCTCTGTTTTATAAAGTTTTTTCTGTAAAAACAGCAACACCATATATTTATGCACTTGAAATATTATATTTTTAAAAAATACATGGTGCTTGCTAACCTTCGAAAGAAGCCAGCAGAGCAATTCGGTTTTTTAAAGCTTTTTTCTAAAAACCACACCCCATTTTTAGACTCTTGAAATATTGTAAAACTTTACTAAAAAAATTGCTATTTTTAAATAATACAGGGTGCTTTGTTGGAACAAAGTCAGCAGGACACTTCAGTTTTTTAATATATAAAAACAACTACTTATGACACATGTTTAGGCTGTTTTAAAATCCTAAAAATGTGGTAAGTATATTTGTTTTCAGAAAAAAAACTTTGAAGTCAGGGAATTGCGAATTTTTTTTAAAAATGTCAAATTTCGAATATTTTATAATATTGTAGGAGCCAAAAAATGTGGTGTGGTTTAAAAAAAAACTGGGGTGCTCTGCTGGATTCGTTTGAAGCTAACAAAGCATCCCGTAATTTTTTATTTTATAATACTCAATAGCCTAAAATGAGACATAGCTGTTTAAACAAAAATGGTACTTTTAAAAATAGCAGTTTTTTCGAAAAGCTCTATAATATTTCAAAAATGTGAAAATGTGGTGAGCTTGTTTTTTTTAAGTTTTGAAAATCAGAGGTTCTTTACTGGATTCGTTCAGAGCTAGTAAAGTGCTCGTCTTGTTACATAAAATAAGGCATTTTGTAGCTGGTTATATAGTTATTTTGTAACTGCATATCTAACCCTTTTATTTTTTTCAGGAGGTTGTAAACATGTGGCTTCATAGAAGAAGTGAGGAACCATCTGTAACATCTACTCAGTGTTATTGATAATGATGTACACTTGGCTAGATTGTTAAAGAAACCTCTTCATCCACTACAGGAAAATAAATCAGTACTTTTATATTCTTAGGATTTGTATATATTTTTTATTTGTAAATAAATTGTTTTTTTACTTCATTTTTCTCATTTTTTATTAAAAGGTTAATAAATAAAATTTTCACAGATTTTTATATTTTTGTTTGTAAACAATAATTGAAGTTTTTATTAAAAATCACCAATGTTAATAATAATAACTTAAGTCAATATTATTCTTTCTCCTTTTTTAAAGCTACTATTAATAAAGGTATTACTTTAGCTTGACCTATGATCAATTTTTAATTTTGTGATATATTTGGTTTGACAGAAAAAAAATTAAAACCCTTTGACATTGGTTGTTTTTATATAGATTTTCATAAAAAATAAACGGAACTGCAAACATGTTTTACTATCGTAATAACGAATAGCAACATGAAATTTTTTTTTCACATTTATCACTGTTGTCATTTTCATAAGAAGGCACACTTTCTGGTTTTTTGAAAAAGGTGGCAAGAACTGTGATATTTTTAAATTTATCACCAGTGATACCACATGTAGTTACCCGATTTATTGGAATATATAGACTTTGCTACCACATTCAACTGAACTTGGTTTTTAATATTTATCACTGTGACATAGGCATTTTTGTTAAAATGTTTCATTTTAAACTGCTGTAAATAGGTGCCTTTGTTTTGGTAGTTTCAGTCCCAAACAAATCTATGCATATACAGGTACTCATTCCTCTTCAATTTGCTCGAAAAGTTAAATTTTTATCAAAAATTACATTGGCTGTTTAAAAACTCATTATAATCCCTGAAATGTGATAATTAGGTAAATTAAATTAAAAAACAAAAAAGTTTATTAAATTAATATTTACTCTTACAAAATAGGTTCTTGTAAGTTAACAAGCAATTATGCAGATATTACTAAGTAAATGTACTTGCTTAAAATTCACACACGAATGTGGTTTTAACATGTTAAATTAACTAACCCTTCTTATAACTCTTTCCACATGTATTCTTAGAGATGCTATTCTTTTACTTAATTGTACATCTTCTTGAGAAGTTTTTTCATTCTGTGATACACTAGGTGTGGCTTTACTAAAGTGTATCCCATGTTTTCAAGTAGCTGATTATTCTGAAACCCCTATCTGCCATTATATGGGATCCAGGAACCAGTTTGTTTAAATACCCACATTTTTCCATTATTTCTTTATCACTAGTTCTTCCACAAAATGATGAATAAATTCGGTATCTTCAAAACTTTCAGGAGATTCTGCATTTTCTTCCAGAAGGGTTTTTAGGTTATACACCTAAGAATTTATAAAATCCTTATTTTCAATTTCCTGAAGGGGACAATTAGCAGAAATTGCTGCTACATCTTGATAATCCGGTGTATTTTTATTAAAAAGTTCACGAGAAACATCGCTAGTAGAAGGTTGATTTTCTTCTTTCCAAATTTTTAGGAACACTAATAAATATTTTTGAAGATGAATGTGAATCATTATCACATTCTGGAACAAAACACTTTTTCGTAGTCATAATATTTATAAAAAGTACAAAATTAAACAATCAAATTCCAAATAAATTCTTGATGGAGACACTATGATGACAGATGCCATACACAGTGCTGCCATTTTGCCATTTTCTGAATTATTAAGTGACTTTTAAAACAATGAAACCTTAAATATGGTAAAAGTTTAAACAGAAATAATACTTTAAAAAAACATTTGATATTATATATTTAAAAGATATTTGTTTAACGATGTTTTAGAAGTCTAAAAGTAAGAAGGAGTACACAAACGAACGTACATCACTTCTCGTAAACCTTCTAGCCGGCAACGTTGTGCGCTAGCTCCTATTGGTCTATTCCCGGTGACGTCATAAATTTTAAAAAAATTCATAACTCCGGCAAATGAATAGATAAAAAAAAAAAATAAAAAAATGTAATTTTATTTTCAACTCTATTATTCATAAAAAAAATTTCAAAATTTTTGAACATGCCCCATTATCATTTATGCATTAAATACTTAATTGTCATTTTTTAATACATTGACTCTATCACTTTCCAACTGGGCGTCCCTTATGATGAAGTAACCGGTCGCCAATAAATTGACTGTGAGTTATAAAGGACCTTTCTTTACACCTTTGTACTCAATAACATTCTCGTAAATGTTAAATCTTTACAAATGAATGAAAAATATTTCGAAGATGTTATAATAAAATCTTGTTTTTGTCATTAGACACTATATTAACTAAAAATCAGAAATAAATACTAACCTTATAAGCAAATATGACAATGTTTCCATCATATAGGATATAATTGTTTCTAATAGTATTTTAGATAGCTGTAGCTTCAATAATGATCTTAATTTTAATTATTAGTTTATATCTTCTTTTTGGTGTATTTAGAATTATGAGCAATCTCTAGAATCTCCTTCTTCGATCTACAAACACGTTTTTGGAAAGATATGTAACCATTATTTTTAACTTTGTTATTTTTAGTTAAATTTCTTAAATCGGCTACGTTGCTTTTATACTTTTTCAAAATTCCAACTAATAAGGTAGCAGTGGATACAGCTCTTGAATCACTTGGTACATATATACAGTTTGTTTGATGGTGGAACTCACAACTATTTACCATTTTCGCCAGTTAAAATGCAGCATTTACATTTGTGATACTATTTTGCAATGTTAATAACAGAAACAGAAAAAAAAACAAAAGTTTCGATATTATATAAATCTATAAAAATAAGTTTTAGTACCTAAAATGTAAAAAATATTTAAATATGAATTAGCTTAAACTACACAAAAGTATATTAATACAATCATATTTATTAACTATAACTATGAAAATTATCTAAATATCTAAGTTTAAAACATGAATGCAATTAATAAGAGGATTTTTCTAATTCACTATTGCTGCGTTTGAATATCCACATCGTATGCATCTGAGATGTTGTGAATCTTTGATCACGTGATTCAATATACGTAAATGTAGTAGGACAGAAGTGTCCGATGTGGATAAACAAACGCTCGAGATGTAAAAAATGCATCGGATGTGGATATTCAAACGCAGATACATAATCTAGTTAATTAAAAAAATAATTTTAGATTTAATTAACGGCAAAATAGAAAGATACTAATTTCGTATTTTAATATAACATGTATGCAGATTTAAAACCAGTTTCGCAATAATTAAAAATCTAAATGCATGTATTTGCATGAGTCAAAACGACTTCAGTTGCACAAGGTCAAAACCGGAAACTAGTTGTTGATACTCTTTCACGTGTTAGCATAGGTCACATATTTTGGTCTAATCAGTGTCTATTCGCGATTCAAGCTAAGTGATACGCCCTCTGGAGGAAATTCGTGAAAGGTGTCTATGAGTAGGACTTTGTTCAGTGTTGCCAGGAGTAGCGGAATTTCGCTATGTTGTCGGATTTTTAGCCCTTGAAGAAGTGGAAAGGACCTTTTTTAAGTAGCAAAATTTGTGTCTAGCAATATGTAATTATACTCTATATTTATTTAAGGATTTTTTATAAAAGCGATTTATTATATATATATTATGACGTAATTTGGTTAACTAATAATTAAACACTCTATGTTTGGTTTTGAAAATAAAAATGAAAATCAATGTTTCGGAAAAAAAAGTCAATTTTGAAGTTTTTAGAAATTAATTATTGATTGTCAGGGGAGAATTGTCAACGGGAATTTTGGAGGATTGTCAGGAAGGATTTTGTATAGTAGATTGTTTTTTTTTTATTTCAAAAATGAGTCGCATCCACCAAAAGGTGACTAGCGACGGTACAATTATAAATAAACAAGTTACATTATGTTACATAAAAAAAAACAGAACAATACTACATTTTATGGAACAATTGTATGAATTTTAAGTACGCAACAATATCATTCCACGGACAGTTTTTTCCTAACAATACGCTTCTGTCATTTGGGATCTTATAGGTAATACGATGGATATTAAATTGAGGACAATCCAGTAAAAAGTGGTTAACAGTTTGTATAACATCACATTCTTCACATCGAGGAGGATCAGTCTTATTCAGAAGATATGAATGAGTGAGTGCAGTGTGACCCAGTCGTAAGCGGGTAAGAATCGTCTGCACTTTCCGATTATTAGTAACAGGTTTCCAAGGCAATACATTTTCTTTAATAGACCGTAATTTAGATTGGGAATGTTCCCATTCTCGAGACCACCTACACAGAATTTTACTTTTAAAATAGCCTTTAACGTCACTTGGTACACTCCCGATTACTATTTCAGATTCCGCACTCGTTATCGCACTACGCGCACAGAGATAAGCTTCCTCATTTCCATCAATGCCGACATGCGATGGTATCCAAATGATACTAACAGTCCTGGAGTGTTGTTGAGCCCGTAGTAGTTCAAACTTGATCATTTTTGCAATTTGGTTTTGAGGATATATTTGTTTTATTGTTTTTATGGAGCTCAAGGAGTCAGTAAGTACTAGAGTGCAGACATAATTAGAGGAGTTTGCATATTGAATGGCTTTGTATAAGGCATAAAGTTCTGCGGAGAAGACACTGGTAGTTGGAGAAAGTTTAAATTTAAAAGTATTTAAGGGTGTAACTAATGCAGCGCCAACCCCTACATTACTTTTAGAAGCGTCCGTAAAAAGTTTCTGGGCGTTATTGTAGTGCTTATTTAATATTGAGGTCAGACAAGCTTTTATGATGGAAGGATTGGTATGTGTTTTATTAAATTCGTGTAGATCAGTATTGATTTGAGGTATGTTGATTGTCCAAGGGGGAGGGTGATCGAGATCTAAAGGCAACATTACAGGAAACTCAATGTCTAGATGTTGCAGATAAGTTCGAATTCTTTCATAATAAGGTTTAGGTGACTTTGGTTTGTTATCGAAATGATGTAGATATCTGTTTGTAAAGGTGTTGTTATAAAGGGGCTTGTTTTTGTTTGAAGCTATAGATGTAGCATGTGATGTTTAAATACATTCGCCTCTGATGTAAAGAAGGTTCACCTGTTTCTGCATACATACTCTCAATAGGAGACGTACGAAAAGCACCAAGAGCAATACGTAGCCCAGCATTATGGATGGAGTCCAGTGGCTTCAGCGTCGATTTAAGAGCAGATGCGTAAGCAATAGCACCGTAATCCATCTTAGATCTAATTAATGTTCTGTAGATAGCAATTAATGTGATATAATCAGAACCCCAGTCTCGGTTGGCTAAAGTTTTCATAAAGTTCAGTCTACATTCGAGTATAAGTTGTTTAATGTGTTCCTTCCAAGAGAGTTTTTGATCAAATAACATACCCAAAAATTTTACAGATGATTTAAACGTTAGATTCTTATTGTATAGTTTTAACACTGGCATATTGACTTGAGTGGATTTGGAAAATACGATACCAGTAGTTTTCGATACTGAAAATTCGAATCCTGTTTCAATGGACCATTGTTCCAGTCGATCTAGAAAGCCTTGCAATATGGATGTCATTTGAGGTACATTTTTACCTTTGATATAAACTACTAGGTCGTCGGCATACAAACGGGCTTTCATTGGTTTAGTTAGATTTTTAATTATATCATTAATAGCGATTAAAAACAGAGTTGGACTAATAATAGAGCCTTGAGGTGTTCCATTTTCTTCAGTGGTATTTACAGAGAAAGAGTTGTGCACTCTTACTGAGAAGGATCTGTTTTTCAAGAAATTGTTAACAAATTGAAGACAATTGCCACGAATGCTCCAGGAATGAAATTTTTCAAGAATTTTAAATTTCCAACAAGTATTAAAAGCTTGTTTTAAATCGAAGAAAATGGCAACGCATATTTGTTTCGTTGCAAAAGATTCGCTTACTTCACTTTCCAAATCAAGGATATTATCAATTCCTGAACGGTTTTTTCTGAATCCATTTTGTTCCGAAATTAATAAATTACAATTTTCTAATGTCCAGGTTAGACGGGAGTTTACCATCTTTTCCATCAATTTGCTCATAGAACAAGTTAAACTGATCGGCCTGTAGGAGTTAGGTTGAAGGTGGGATTTCTGATATTTTAGTAGCGGAAGTGTTATAGATTTTGACCAGATTGAAGGGAACTTGTGTTGTTGCCAGATGAAGTTAAATAACTTAAGAAGAAGTATTTTAGCAGATTCGGGAAGATGCTTTAAAAATATAACAGGAATGTCATCTGGTCCTGGATTTGTATTTTTCAGATCATTAAGACTATTGGCCAATTCTGACATACTAAGAGGAAGATTAAGTGAAGTGTTTTCGGTGGGATCGGAAAAAATATCAGTCTCTTCTGCAGCTATTTTATTTTCAAGAAAAGTGGGGCTATAATTATCATTAGATGACATCTGTTTATAGCTGATAGCAAGAATATTGGCCATCTCATGGACAGAGCTTGTGATTTTACCATTAACTTCGAGGCTGGAAATAAAAGGTGTACTTTTTAGTCCAGAGATATTCCTTATTCTTTTCCAGACTTCTTTAATTGGTGTCGTGCTGTTTATTTCAGATACATAGCGATGCCAAGACGAGCGTTTTGCTTGTTTCACTAAGAGTTGGGCTTTGGATTTATTTCTTTTGTGTTCTATTTTGTTTTCAATGGATTTGTGTCGCTTGTATTTGTTAAATGCTGCTTTACTTGCTCGAATTGCACGCTCACACTCGACGTTCCACCAGGGTACAGGCGTGTGGTTTTTAATCTTTTTTGTTTTTCCAATATATATCTCGGCACTTTTTAGAATAATTGTATTAAAGTTTGATATGGATTCGTTAATATCGTCTGTAATTTGGAAATTCGATAACGCATTGTCAATGTGATTTGCAAAATCATTCCATTTAGCAGAATCAGTTTTCCATTTTGGGATAAAAATATCCGTTGAAGGAACTATCAAAGTTTGTATTATTATAGGGTGGTGGTCGCTGCCATACGTAAATTCAAGAACTTCCCATGTCAAGCGTGTAGATAGTAATGGGTCGCATATGCTTAAATCTATTGCTGATCCCTCTCCGGTATTTATGTTAAATCTGGTAGCAGAACCATTATTAAGAAATGTCAAGTCAAAATCAGACATAATGTTTTCAATAATTTTACCTCTACGGTCGGTATGTGATGAGCCCCATATTAGGTTATGTCCGTTGAAATCTCCAACAATCAAGCGAGGAGTAGGTATTTGATCCAGAAGATAGTAGATTGTTGATTTATGTAATAGATAAGAGAAATGGAAATATATTGTTAATGAAAAGGAGAATTGAATAAAGAACATTAAAACATAAGGTAAAAGGAATATTTTATTTAAATCAAAAAAAAAACAAAAAGTAAACGAAAACTAGTAAGGCGAGATAGCAGTATTAAAGCAGGAGGCAGAACGGTCGGAGCATAAATAGAGTAGTAGAGAAAAGAACGTGCAGACTATACGGGCAGACAAGGCGAAGAAGAAGAAGAAGAAGCAGATAAGAAAATTAATATTATAAATTAATATTTTTGTTACTATTTTTTAGAATCAAAATTAGAATACCTGTGATCAGACCAAACATAGAGAGGATAGGTAAATTAATATTTGGAATTGAAAATTGTATAGAAATTTCAAAGGTGAGTTTATTTTTTTATTTTTCTTTCTCTTTGATTATCTAAATTATTGATAGTGAGAAATATAAGTGAGTGAACCCAACCCAAAATTCTAATTTAAATATAAGTGTTCATCATATAAGAAAAAATTATATAATTACTGAGCTAGCTATACTGGGTATTAAAAATACACTATACATCTAAATTCTTATATTCATATCAATATATATTTTTTAATTTCAATTCATTTATTAATTTTGTTTTAAAATCAGCTCATCATTTAACAAAATTGGCGATCGTGAACACTGTTTATATTTTAATTTGTATCAATTTTAAATTGAATTTTTCCTTACTTATGAGCTTTAAATTTATTTATTTTTTATGGTGTGTGATAGTGTTTATATATATTAAAAATGTAATTTGTGAAAAAGCCCCCAGCAAATTGCAATCTTTAAAGTGTTAATGTCAAAATCAAAACTGAAGTGTTCATTATTTTCCAAGCGTAAGTCGTAAAATGTAGTTTCTTACGATAAATGGATAACTACAAATTCACATTATTGAGATTTTGCAAAATTTTGTCTAGAATTAAATCGCAATCTGCATTGTGACAGTTTAATTACCGTTTACATGTATACAGGTTCATTCATTAAGTGTGGCCGTATCTCAGAATATCTTGAATTAGAATCTTTTTTGAAAGAAATGCAAAAACAGATTGATTTTAATTTCAAGGTTGACATCTTTCTATAATATCCTCAACTGTCATATGGCATTCCTCTCCCCTACGTCAATCTAACCAAAACAATTTAAATAGGGAAAGTACCAAGTATGACACATCGCCCTAAAGGTAATTTTATGGGGAATTACTGTTCATTGTGTTCCTTTTAATTTTAGCGCCCTCTAGCGGGATAAAAAATTATTACCTATGGTAAAAGGTGACACTTCATTTGAAAGCTAATTTTATTAGTAATCCAATGCACCACATAACATTAACCTAGATATCTCCATATTGCACTTGCAACAAAATACATTTAGTAATAATGCATTAGTAATAGTGCTTTAGTCACTAGTCACAGGCATTCTGACTGATCATTGCCAAGTACGGAAGCATCTCCATATCATGGGGCTGTCAGAATACGCACTCTGCAGAGGGTGCGAACAAGAAGATGTCGAGCATATCCTTTACGATTGCTTGACGCTCTCATTTATTAGAACATTTGTGTTCGGCGAGTATCGGCTAACACCGGCTGATATAAGAGAAGCACCTCTTGGCGACGTTGTCAACTACATTAAATCTGTAGGCTGGCTCACGAGCTAGGAGGTGCCTATCATTTAAGGAGGATGCACAATGGGCCCCAATGAGGCCTAAGTGCCGTGGCAATAACATATCCTCCACATGTTACAGATACAGATGCATTAGTTTTTCCTTTTAAGTTCAATTTTGATTTAGATACCTAACATAATATTACGTCGTAATAAACTACTAATAAAATTAGCTTTCAAATAAAGAGTCACACTTTACCATATGTAATAATTTTTATCCCACTAGAGGGCGCTAAAATTAAAAGGAAGCCAATGAACCGTCATATTGCTGAATTCCCCATAAAATTACCTTTCCGACGATGCGATGTTTCATATTTGATATTTTCCCAATTTAAATTGTATTGGTTAGATTGACGTAGGGGAGAGAATTGACATATGAAAGTTGAAGATATTATAGAAAGGTGTCGCCCTTGAAATAAAAAACGACCTGTTTTTCTGTTTCTTTCAAAAAAAAATTTACTTCAAGATTGGACAAATGCCGTAACCCACGTCATTAAGGAATAAGTCAAAATGTGGAGATTGCATGGGATGGTAGACAATATTATCGCCAAGGTGGTGATAGAATTCAATGTGTCAGATGATTCCAGTTCTGAGAAGTCGGTGGATTCTTCAGCATAAATCTCTTTTTTTATTTTAATCTTGATTGCTGATTTATATGTGATGCGTGTAAGTACATTAATTAATAATTTAATTATTTATTTGTCTTATGTAAAAATAATCTAACAAATTCTTAATTATTTAACACCTTAATGCATACTGTGCCCAATTTGAAACATGTGATAAAACTATTATTTTCTAATACATTTATTGATTTTAAACCAATAACTCAATCTAGTCCATATTTGGCACACTCGCTTTTCTACGTTCGAGAAAGATTGTCGCCCTATGTATCTTATTTTCTAATTTATGTAATTTTTTCCTCAGTCGCTGTCAAACACGAATAAGAACGTATTGTTTACATATTTTTAGTGGCAACAAAATCTCTAAAAAAGAAAATTTACTAAAACTAAAAATATCTTGTTTTCGGTATGTGTGTATAATTATGATTTTTGTAAAAAAAAAATTAACTTATATGCCTGTCCGCTACATGTCATTTGTTTCCTTATGCCATATTCGGTACAATTTGAGGTAAAGGTAAATCTGGTTAATAATTATGTAGATCAGAAACGATTTTATGTTTTCAAAGCTGTTAATATTTGAAGATGAATAATTGTCCGATGATGTAGTAATTTTAGTAAAAGAAAGAGCGAAGAGGAATATTTTGATAAAGAGATCGACCTAGATAATGTAGAAGAAACTGATTATTATGATAGTGAAGACGATGTTTCCCAGTCTACCATAGTAACAGCAAATAAAACAAAAAAACAAGGTTTACATTGACTGGGAAGGAAAACACTTGAAGGTTCCTGATGAAGACATTTCATAAAAGGGGTCTGAGTCCTTAGGAAATTATATTCTAAATTTTGATAGTATTTATGAGTATATTATTACTTTAGAAGTTTTGCTATGTATTTTTAGCGATATTTAATAAATATGATTTTAACATCAGTCTACCTTCTTTCTTTCCTTTAGCCCAAATTGTGCCACTTTTGGCACATGTCAAAATATTGACAGTTTTCGACTTAACTAATAAGTTATATTTTTTAAATATTTTTTATAGACTACTACGAGTCATAACACATTACATATAATTATATTAACAAAAACAAATAAGTCCCAAAGAAACAGTCTGAGAGTTTTCACTGGCTTTAAAAATATTGTTTTTACGATGACGTATGACATTTCTCATGAAAATCTTGAGAGAAATCACTTTCTCTCGAATTTGAAAATAGATCCCCAGAAATTGCTGGCCGGTGGAGTTATTGTTGTGGCCTTCATGTAAGCGAATACAATGGTCTTAAGATATTTGGCATATTGGTAAAAACTGTAAATGTGAGTCGGTGTTGTAAATTACGTGTTTTTAAGGCTTATCCATGTCATTTAAAAAAGTTTCTATACCTTCATATTTTTTTTTTAAAGACAAATACTTTTTATAATGAAACTGAAATAAATTTCTAGAATTTAAGATAACAAAGAGAATATTTATGATTATTTTAAATCTAATTTTTGCACCAACTGCAGCAAATTGTCTCATTTTTAGTTAATCTTTACAAAACCCTAATATGCTTACAATACTCTCACTCAAGGCATAATTAATATCTCAAATATGGCCCTGCACATTGTTTACTATGTTGTATATTTAGTTGTGGAATGTTATTTTAGATAATTTCTTCATATTAATATCTATTAGGTTGCTAAAAATACGTTGAACACAAGCAACCAATGTTTAACTTTTAATATGTACAATATATTTAGTTTGCAAACGACATAAAAATAGGAAAAACGTTGATTGAAACCACAATTAGCTGTTTGAAGGATTCGTCAACGCAATATGGAGGAAAAGAACCCGTCTTGGACCACGTGACATCGTCTCCCTATCTTCTATCTCCATATTTCAAGCAAAGTCTATGTTAAATGGCACCCGTTAGTTATCTATATTTCATTTGTTTATCTGAGATCGCGAATCATTGTTACGTCACTGCAGAGGTGGTAGATGGCTATGAAATACGTTAGCAACGTTACCAGCAGACCACAGTAGAATGATGAGTTACTCTCAAAGAAAAATTGGTTGAGTATAGTATTTGGCCTATTCTTTTTGTAATACGCCTGGAGATTCTAAAATAATTTAGAATTTAAATTTTAATATTTTATAGATTTAAATTAGGCACATTAAAAAAAGTAAATGGAAGGATTTAGCGCAAAAGAGGATCAAGACTAGGGTTGCCACCTTTTTGAAAAGTGAATAAAAAATATTTGCCGTAAAAAATGACATTTTAGGCTTTAAAAAATCACAAGGACATTTTGCTTCAAAAAAAGAATGTCCTTTTCAAAAAAGCACAGGTGGCAACCCTAATCAAGACTAAAAATAAAAATTACAAAAAAATTTAATTATTTCGGAATATATCCCCTATAAGCAAGCATTTGACTGTATTCATCATCACTATTTCGATCATTACTTCTATTTCTCTGTTTATTTTTCTTTCCGATCCACTTTTTTATAATTAAATCAAAAAGTAACAAATTACTCTGAACATCCAACCATCCAAAATCAACTTTGTTAGCACCAATATTGGAATTTTCTTTACCAGAAAGTTGACATCGATTTGAAGTTACTGGCTCATCGGTTAATTTTGAATTTAATATATTTTTATTTTCATTTATTTCTTTCTTTTTATCAAATATTTCATTCATTTCAAATGTTGGTTTATTTAAAATGTTTAATTTTTTCAGTGGTGTCAAATAATTTTTTATGAATGTAAAAATACTATCTATAAATGAAGAATTAGATTCTTCAATCAAAGCACGTCGTTGCCGGGCAATAGTTGCATTCCTACTTTTTAAATCGTTTAATATTTTATCAATATCTTCTTCATTATTGTCAATTTCAGATAAACATTCATCATATTTGTAATATTGTTTTATATTATGATCACTACTAAATTCAATATCTGGAGCGATGTATTGTCCCTGACCTTCTAACTCGATTTGTAAAGTTTCATTTCTAAATTTACTTAAAGAATTAAAGCTATTGTTTACGTTAGTAAATTTAATGCTCCACGTAGCATAAGGGCTTAGCATACAATCATTATTTTTTATGAAATCGTAAACTTTATTCTTATCAACAGGTTCACCGTTAGATTTCGTTTCAAGAGTATAATAAATAGTGTTTTTATCACTCAATATAGTGTAAATATTCCTTCCATATTTGTAGTTAGAATCACCGTGATGCGTTAGAGAAATTCCATAATTTTGCAACGTTGAATTTAGCTCATTTTGAAGTGTTTGATTTTCCAATTTAATGTTTATTCCTATTTTGTTGTATTTAACAGCATATTTATCAACACCTTTAGTAATATCTGCTCTTACTCTAATTTCATCTCCTGTTAGAAGCTTACCAATGGCTTCTTTAATTGTATCATATTCCCAAACAAAAAATGGGGTTGTTTCGACATATTTACTATTAAATTCGACGTTATTATGAATGTGACTGTCAAATTGAGAAACTGAAATTTTGTTTGAAAATTTTAAACCTAATAATGCAATTGCTTTTTCGATTTCACTTTGATAGTTTTGTTCTGTATAATCGGATTTCAACAACTCGTTAACATTGAATCCAAAAGGAAATATTCGTTGGCTATATGCATTTAGAAGTTTTTGGTATTGTCCTAAAATCAAATTATTATTAATAACTTGCTCTAGTTTATTTATAATATTTGACAATTCAATATTGTTTATGATTATTACGCCAGCTTCAGTAGATTTTATATTTTTAATATTTCCAATCAGTTTTGCTTGGTTAAAATTCGTTTCTAAACTGTCATATATATTAATTATTGAAACAATCAATCCTTCTATTTTCTCAAGTGAACGATATAAGTTTTCATTTATTTTAACTTCCTTACTAATGTGTCTTAATTCAATTCTAATATTATTTAAATTGTCTTGTATATTAGATTCTTTGAAATCAATAAATGCATGAATTTTATTTTGTAATAGATTCAAAATGCTTTGGCATGTTAAAGTTACCGTCTTAAATATGTTTTGTTTAAACAGTTGTATTTTATGAATTTGTTCTTTATTCTTTTTAATAATTTCAACCAATCTTTCAATTTTAGCAAAATTGTATTTGATCTTATCGAAAATATCGAAAGAAATATCATCGATTATCAAAATATTTTCGATTAAATTAAATATTTCATATTTTGATGAGCTATTCTCTTTTGTTGCATCAATTTTTCTCTGGTTTTCTACTTCAATTAACAAATCCTTTATAGATATGTCAGCATTACTTGTTAGATTTTGTATTTTTTTAACGAAATTATCCTCTAACAAATTTAAATTCTTTTCATCGAAAAACTTCAATAATTCGTCGGTATTTAAATGTTTTTTAAATATTGACTTATTAGATAATTGTTTAATTTTAAGTATTAAATCTTGAACCAATTGAATTTTTTCAATATCATTTATTTTGGATTCATTTAAAACTAAAAATGTACTTACAGTTTTATCTGCCTGAAATTTATTTATAGTTTCGCCTAAAATACTCAAAAAAATCTAAAAATCGGTTTGACATATTTAAAGACTCTAATAACACTTTTGAAATTATGATTTCGTTTAGTTCATGTCCATTTTCTTCTTCAGATAACATGCTATCTACATTTTCGTCATCGAGAATCAATATGTTTTCATCTCCTCTTTGTGTAGTGTTTAGTAGAAGTTCTAATCCGTTATCTGTTATAGTTATAATATTTTTAATATCGGTATTAATTTCTGTATCCAAAGAAACTTTAACTTTATTTATTTTAACTTTTATTTCATCTTGATCTTTACTGTAGAAATCCAAACTTAAAGAAATGTTTTTCGTATTTTGAAGTTTTTTAATATTATTTGATATTTCACTCATGTAGCTGTTCATATCTAAAACTAATGTAGGATCGATTTTTTTGTCCACATTGTAGATTCTAGCTACAACGGCAGTATTTAAATATGCCAGCACTTTTTTATATTCTAATAAATTTTCGGAAGTTTTCGGATGTTCAGCATACTTAATAATTCTATTCAATAACGATTGATAATACGGTAGCATTTCAGATGGGTCTTGAAATAAAATAATTTGTTTTTCAAAATTAATAAATTCGTCATAAAAACTCTTTGTATCATATAAAGAAGAAACATGCTCATTGTTCTCAATACGATTAAAAAAGTATCGCAAAACTAAGTTTTGTGTATTCTTATCCAAATTATCCCGTATGTAATTTTTATAACTGTTAATGATTTGAGGTAGGTCATCAAAATTGACCTCTTTCGGATATTGATAATTTTTGAAACTAGTACCATATTTTCCTATTACCCCGGTAGTTCTCGGACTTAGATAATCTTCCTCATAATGAATATCATGCCGAACTGTATAATCGTCCTTATTTGTCCAATATCGATGGTAGTACACCTTAATTTTTTTACCATTTTTACCAGGTTTACCAGGTTGACCTCCGGAACCAGGGCTTCCTGGAATTCCATCTAGAGCTTTGGTTAAAATCTGTGATTTATCTTTATCGTTTAAGTTAATTATAAATAGTTTTCCCATATTACCTCCTTTACCTCCTACACCCCCGTTACAACCATTACCTCCATCTGTACCATTTTTTCCATAGACCACATATCTAGATTCATGTTCATATTCCTTGGAAAAAAAGAAAAATTTTCTCATTATAGTTAACGTATACCCAGCAGAATAAGTAAAATTTCCTTTATCCCAAGGGTCACGTTCATCATCTTCTTGAAGTGGTGGGTCTTCTCCATTTCTACCATCTAAACCGTTACCTCCATTTTGCCCAGGACCACCGCTCCCTCCAACAATAGAAATCGACAAGTATTGACTGTTAATAAATGTTTGTCCTAAGCCAAAAAAGCATCCTGCTGAGCCACCTGGATACCCGGCATCTCCATCATAACCATTTGAAGCTTGCTGTGGATAGTGAAACTCTCCTGATTTTCCATCTAAAATTAACTGTTGACTTCCGATAATTTCCCATTTAGGGGCTATTATGGAAAGCTGAATAATAGTTCCAGATTTGTCTAAACTAGCGTCTATAAAAATTATATTTAAAGCCATTATATCTATGAATTTAATAGAACTTGAAGATGCCAAACTGATTACGTCACTAAGTTTTACAAAATTTCCCTTGATAACTAATCTATGAGACATTGGTTTGGATATAGTTAGATTAAAATTTAAAGTTTCGTCTAAAACTCTAGTCAAAAAATCAAGGGCCCTATCATTAATAGATACATCTTTAATATTATTATATTCTAGGTGGTCGTTTGAATTGATCACTTTCTCTAGCAATTTTTTTAAATATGGTAAATCAGTAATAAATTTTTGTTTTCGTGGTTGTTGTTTTAATAGCGTAATTTGGGCTTTTAAGTTAACAATATCATAATTCTTAATATTTTTCTGTATGTCATATTCAGATAATCTGTTATAAAGGTCTATTAAAAAATTGTACAAAGTTTTCTTCTTTCCAATAAAGTCTATAACTTCTTTGAAGCCTTCTGTCCAAATCAGAGCATTATTTTCAGATTCGTTACTACTACTTACAGTTTCTAGAAAATTAAGATATTTATTAAAATTAAGAACATTCAATAAATCTTCATTTGCCACTGAAATGCCAGATCTATTAGTGTATTTGTAAATAGTTTGAACGGCATCATATGGTTTCTTGAATTGATTTGTATTCTTTATTTCAGAAAAATCATTATCTGCCGTTTGAAATTTGTTATGCAGTTCATTAAGATCTGAAATCCTATTTTCTAAATTAATATAATAATTTTTAATGCTTTTACCAATATTTTTAAACTTGATATTAATCGCTTTATTTATCTCATCAATTAAGTCGTGGACATAATTTTTTGATTCTGCAGATATAGTGTAACTAAAATCTGATTCAACATGTGAAACAAAATTTAGGTTATTTTCTATTAATTCAGTTATGAATATTCTTTCTTTTTGAAGAAGCTGAATTTGTGACAAAGGACCTGACTCATCAGGCCTTCTAAAGATGCCAATTTTACTATAAGTATCTCCTTGTTTGGTTAATAATATATCAATGAATGTAATTGCTTTTTTGTGGAATTCCTTATAATTTTCTGTTGAATCTACTTTAGTTTTAAGTTCGTCTCTAGCTAACTTTAAAAAATCTGCTATTTTGTTAATAATTTGGAAATCGGGTACTAGTAAAAATTTTCCTTTTTTCTTTATGTAATCATTGTCGACTTTGGTTACTAAAAGCGCAATATTGTCTTGAAATTTGTCAATATTATTTATCATTGTTGTGGCATGTCTTACTAAAAGCATAAAATCGTGTCGATCTACACCTTGACGCACTGATGGGTAGCTAATAACAAAAATCAATTTCAATGAATTTGAAGAGTCAATTAATTTTTTGGTGAAATAAGTCGCTGATATGTCGTAAGCTGGACTTCTTGTATCGCTAAATCCAGGACAATCATAAAACACTGTATTCGTATTTATTAACATTTCAGGATAAGTAGTTTTTGAACTTATTGTAGAATTATAACTGATCTTGTTATTTTTGTCGATGATTATGAACTCACCTGTATCTTCTCGAACTTCTTGGGATATTAAATCATTGTTATTTCCAGCTATGAATTGGACAGAAGTAGTTTTGCCAGAACCTGAATTTCCTAAGAAGAGCACAACGTTTCCTTGTTTCGTGTATTTTATTTTTTCGCCTTCTTTAAGGACTTTTATTATATTTTCTATTTTTACATTGTTTATGTAAGTTGGAGTGTGATTTAAATATACACCTGTTTCCATAATATTTGTTTTATTCTCTTAAATATTTTTCAGAAATATGTATAGGCAATGCGTACTTGACTTGATATGTGTTGTGTTTACAACGGTAATGCAGATATTCATTAAATCAGGTTATCGTTAATACAGTGACTCTGTAAATGGGGTCATCGCCTATAAGGAGTTAGTAAGAAAGTGCCGGGATATTCGAAGCATTTCTCAGAAGGAGAATTTGTGAAAGGGTGCGTAATATAATACGCAAATATCCTGTGTCCAGAGAAAAGGAAAAGGTTCGCAAAAGTTTATCTATCGGAACAGTCACAAGTAAATGAGGGGTAATATTTTAATGATCACCAGGTGGCGTTCCTGTAACGTGAGGTGTATAGAACGACCTGTAAAAAAACTTTGTTATTTTAAAAATGTTAATAATCTTATGACGAGAGTTGCCTTGCCTGGATACCGATATCTGCCACATTAGCCCAGTATCTTCTCAGTGAACAGGATGCGAAAACAATGTTATTTTGTGAAAAATGGAGTAAAAAGTGTTATACTCTTTATAGGAAAGTAGAATGATCGGAACTATGACAGAACTGTTGAGTTCATACCTTATTAATTGTTTGTTTGGTGGGTATTTTTCATTAAAACAAAGTGAGGAAATTACCATTTTGCATCGTTTTTATAGTATACAAGATAACAATAATTAAATAAGAAAAATAATATGTTTTAGTCCTGTAAAATTGGAATTGTTGTAGAAATGGTCATTCAAAAAATGAGTATAAATTTGATGTTTTGAGGTTATGTTTACAGAAGAATATTATTAAAATATTACAATTTTGCGACATTTTACATAATTAATAAGCACATGCCAAAGGTAAATAGTTTTTCTGTTACCATTCCTAAACAAACTTCAACATGGAAGATCTCCTAATTAGGCATTCCAACGACCTGTCTAAGTGGCTACCAGTGGGGACTGACAATTTAGATATGGCAACCCTGTTGTCATGTTGTCATTAACAGGGTCAATGATACATATATAGTTATATAGGTTGCTCGAAGCTGGTCGTTTGTGAGCGGCCATAATGCCTGGCAAATATTTATTAATTTAAATCGGTTTAGCAAAAATGTGTTTTAAAACCAATTTTCAGCCTTTAGATATTAAAAAAAATTATAACTGCTTACATTTTTACTTCAAGGCATAAGCTAGTGTTTATTTTGAAAAATATGGATAATCAATCTATGTAAGTATCTATTTTATTGACCTTGTCAAATCACCAAGCCTACAGGGTTGCCATAATTTTGCCATATCATAACCTGTCAAAACCCACTGGTAGCCATTCAGTTTGAAATGCCTAATTGTAAAAAAATTGTTCTACTTAACATACCTAACGTTGTTGAAGATACCTACCTACACCTACAAAAATTTCATTTTGTAGTTCCTTAATTACCTATAGTGTAAGAAGTGATCTTGCAAAATTATTAAGTGGGCTGACAAATAAAATATAATTTAAATATTTGTTAAATATATTTAATACAAATAGTTATCTTACATAAAAAAGTTAGGTTAGGCTTTCAAATTACGTTTGTAAAGAAAAAAATATTATATGTTTAATAGTAATTTTAGTGCAAGAAAATATTTAGGTACATTCAAATAATTTAGCTCTTTCAAAAATAACCCACTATAATATGCTCAAATCTATATATTTCGTTGGATTTTCGTTATACGATATCAAAATAGTATATTATATCGTATCCAGTATTACAGATCTGTGCCTGAAATTATTAAAACAACAGAAATTAGGTCATTACATCATTTACATCATTTAAAAATTTACCACTTACTTTTGATTAAGTTTTTCTATATTTTCGGTCACCTCTTTTTTTCGCCCTTATTTTAGGTCCCTTACTTTAATTGATACTTGTTTATCCATTTGTCAATTTTAATCATTAGGTATTCCAAACAAAATGGCTGCTAGTGGGTTTTGACAGGTAATGATATGGCAAAATTATGGCAACCCTGTAGGCCTGGTGATTTGACAAGATCAATGAAATAGTTACACAGATTGATCATCCATATTTTTCAAAATAAACATAAGCTTATGCCTTGAAGTAAAAATGTAGGTAATTATATTTTTTACTATATTCAAAGGCTAAATATTGGTTTGTAAATACATTTTTCAAAATCGATTCTGATTAATGAGCACTTGCGAGGCAATATGGCCGCTCGTAAACGACCCGCTTTGAGCAATCTATATGACTACATATGTATCATTGACCCTGTCAATGACAACAGGCTCACAGGGTTGCCATATCTAAATGTCAGTTCCCACTTGTCAGCAGTTTGACAGGTCGTTGGAGTGCCTAATTATTTCCTCAAATGTATCATAAAACACCATAATAGTATATAACGGAACAAGTGTTGTAAGTAACCCATAACGAAGTGAAAAAGTTTACGCACGAAGCGTCAAGTGCGTAAATTACACGAGTGCGTAATGGGTTAACAACTCGTGTAACGTACTATACTTTTTCTATGCCTACTTAAAACATTTAAAAAAAAAGGATTTAACGTTATGCTTGCGTCGCCAATCCATAAATTTTCGATAGGTAATTTCGTACCTTTCTTTGGATTTTAGCGGTAACAAATTATGTCTGGCAGCTTGAGCTTTTTCTAAAATCTCCGGTGAATATATATAAACAATATATATGAACAATATAAATGGCATGACGTTTATTTACATAGCATGCTAAGAAAACGCGACACATTTTATGAAAAAACGTATAATATGTTGCCAACATTTAGGGACATCACTCTTTTAATCCAAAAATGTAAGTCGCTAATGCTAAAAGTTTTTATGTTTAATTTTAATTACTAAATTTATGTAAATAGACCAAATAAAGTCGTACGTAGACAAAAATTTGATTGCAATTTGATTGAACCAAGAAATTTAGGTTTTCTTATCAAAACGCACGTGTATGTTCTAATTACGTACATGTTATTGTTAAATGTCATTTACAAGGAATGTTGATAGTGCGATTTTTAACGTTTACTGACATGGGTGTAGAAAAAATTAAAAAACACACCATCCACATAAAAGTGACGTTTAATATTGACCTAACGTTTCAGTAGTGCCATCTAATGAGGACACTTCGTCTGTTACTCTCATTAAATAGATCATTTTCATGATACAAAGAAAATCCAAAGTATATGCATGATACACATACTAATGGTATGCTGACTTTCGATTCAAAATTCGTTCAAACCGCGCATGACGTAATGCGGGACGAACTTTCAAGTTATTTTGACACTTTTCGATTGAATAGTGTACAATAATTTAATAATTTATTTGGTTTTGTGTTAGTAGTGACTATATTTTCCTATATACAGGGATTTCATTTCAAAACTAGCCACCCAAAATAACTTTTAAAATATCTTTAAAACAAACAAAAAACAAAAAAACACGTTAATTTATATTTACGGGGGGACACATTTTACAAGTATCTGTAACCGTTCAGTTTCATCCCCTAAGCGGTGGTGAATATCACTTCTAAAATTTTAAATAGAAAGGGGTATCATGTGATAGCTCTTCTTAGAGGTCTCTTTTTTTCAAATCTTTTGACACACTATTTTTTTAAATCGGATTAATTTTTCACCAAGTTATGCCATTTTAACCTTTTAAATTAAAATAATTATTATTTACATTGTATTTACATTATTAATATTTTATTTGCGTAAGAATTACATTGTACTTAAATAAGATGTTTAAAATGTCCGCCATTGTTGGCAAGGCAATGGTAAAGTCGCAGCTCGAATTCATCCCGCACTTGTTGAAGCGTCTCTGGTGTAATCCGCTACACTCCTCCACTATTCTACGTCTAAGTTCAGGAATATCGCGAGGTTGAGTTTTATAGACCACAGTTTTTAGATGTCCCCATAAAAAAAAGTCAAGGGGCGTTAGGTCGGGTGATCTCGCTGGCCATTCTATAGCGCCCCTTCTTCCGATCCATTTATCTGGAAATGTCTCATTAAGCCAATTTCGTAGAGGCAAGGCATAATGTGGAGGTGCTCCGTCCTGTTGAAAAAATAGGTTTTCTTCGTCTAGTAACAAATTTCCATCTTGATCTATTTGGTTTTCTAAGGATTCGGTTATAAGAGGATTTATCAGATTTTCTAATAAGTTCAAATACAATTCCCCAATTAAATTTTCCTCCATGAAAATAGGACCAATAATTTTATTACCAAGAATTCCGGCCCATACGTTGATTTTCTAAGGATATTGGCTGTGCTCTTCCCGAAAAACATGTGGATTTGTATTGTCCCAGTACCTACAATTATGTTTATTGACAAATCCATTTAAAAAGAAACCTGCCTCGTCAGTAAAACAAATATTTTTAATAAAATTATGGTCTTCATTTGCCCGTTGAGTCATTAATTCGCAAAATTCTAATCTTCTGTCATAATCATCCTCAGCAAGCTGTTGTAAAAGCTGTATTTTGTGAGGAAAGAATTTATTTAGCCGTAACGTTTTATGCACAGAGCCAACGGAAATATTTGTTAATCTGGAGACTTTTGGTATTGATGTTTGAGGTTCCATAGCAGAATGACCTAAAATCTCAACTTGTGCAGCTTCAGTTAAAACTCTACGATTCCTTACAGTTTTATTGTACACACTTCCAGTTTCTTAAAATTTATGAACTAAATCCAACACATACTGATGCCCAACATTTTTATCGGGATGTCTCTGATTAAAAACACGAGCAGTTCTGCGTGCACAGCGTTGTTCTTCTCCATAAATAAAGATTATTTCAATTCTTTCTTGTAAAGAATAAACCATTGTCAAAATTAAATTGTCAGTACACGACGTAATCTACTAATCATAAATTGTTTTAATTTACGGTCAAAAATATCTCGCCTTGCGTCGAGGCGCCTAGCTTCGTGGTGGAGAGGAAGGTATTTATTTCGGGATAGATATGCGGTAGAAAATACTTAAATGGTGCTATACGACGAAGGATGTCGCCAAAGATATTAT